TCATTAATAAACAACCAATGTTATTAGTGTCAATTGTGTCGCTAAATATAGGCGTTACAATATGGTCCTTAATAAACAACCAATGATTGTAGTGGCACTTTTGTCGCTAATATACGACTACATTTCTACGTCATAAGTTAGTTGGTAATTTGTATCCAATTTGCGACCGTTCCATTTTGCGACGAAATATTAGCGACTCTTTCAAATAGTTCTTATGTAGTCGCAAATAGGGTATTAGCGACCATTTAAGGACGATTTTCGTAGTTGCAAAGAATGTGTTTTCTTGTAGTGTGTTTACGAGTTCTTATGTTTATATGATTTTCATTTTCTTATGATTTAGTATAAATATAAACCATTTTTCTCTAATAAAACCGATATTTATTCAAATCTAACGAAAACGTAAAAATCAATAAATGAATTTTCTAATAGAATGACGATATTTGTGATGTCTAGATTAGGGTTTTTGACTTTAAATATTTTAGTATAAATATATACGATTTCTCTCTAATTCTCTCACACCCTTCTAAATTGTTTAACTCTTTCCTTCTTCTTCGAATAAGTTTGTACGATACTTCAAAAAACTACGTCTAAAATACATAGAACAGTGTTCAAAAGATCTCAAAACTATTTAAACTAAATTATTTGGATAATTTTATGTTTTTATTTATTCTCTTCTATTATATACTATTTTTACGATCATGTCTTCCAACATTAAAATGCAAGGAAATCTAACAAACAAATATACTCAAGAATAAATAAAACAAATGAATCCAAACTATTATTAGATTTTTCAAACAATTAAATGGAAATTATATCAGTCCGCGCAAGGTGCAGGAAAATTAACTAATTTACTATTATTCAAGGTTTGCTAATAAGAATTGAGTCTTATCTTTGTGCGCAAGTTTAGGCATATGGATTGGTTATATCATGAATTCATGATTGCATGTGCATTAGAAACTTCCGATCGCTTAGTAAAGACTATGTTTTAATGAATTCGTTTTTTTCTGTAAATATTATACCTAATAATCGAAAAGTAGTATGTTGGGAAAATTCAGTTATAAATGCCAATTTAGGTTTATAAAGTGAGCAAACAGAGGTTTGTTTCTAGGGGTTTTTGCTAAAAATAACCTAAAACTTGATTTTGAATAAAAAAGTAGACTCCTGAAAAAACATTTGGCAGAAATAACCTAAAGGGGTAGTGAAAAGACCATTTAATCCTGTATGAGTAAAAAAAAACGGATGTCCTAATTACCGTTTACACCCTGACGAAGTTTACTAAAGAGAAAAAGAAGTCTAATAGTAGACTTTTTTATCGAAATGAAGTCTACTAAGTAATTAAATCTGAAAATTTAATTTTAAAATTTTTAAAAAATTATTTTGGTATCAAATTTACATTCATAAATTCCGTAATCGTAACTCAAATGTACATAAATTATTTTTTCATATTGCTAAATGGAAATGTATGTTTTTAAATTAAGTAGAAGTAAATTTATTATTTAGGTTTTAAAAGTTGTAGACTTCTATATTGAAGTCTGCTAAACCGAATAAAATAACCTAACCGAAATTTAAACCGAAATTTAAACCGAAACTAAACCCAAATTAAACCAAAAATATCTATTTTAACCAGAAATTTTATCCTACTATATAAACCAACGAATCCTCGTAAAACCCTAATTTTTTCTAAAAGACTCTCTAATTCGGCGCTTTCCTCTGGCCTCCATCGCCTCTCTCACGATTTTTTTCGAAGCTCAGAGATCTGGTGTCCTCCCTTGTAACCAGAGAGTAACTTAAACGAGAACGAGTAACTCAAGGATTTTCCGGTGACCCAAACAGCAAAGAATCCATCCATATCCGCCAACAATGGAGTTTAGCCTTCGACTCTCCGCTGTCACCAAGACGGCATCGCCCACTCTTCTTGCCTCTGGATCTAGCGAGGTGAGTGAGATTGAAATATTTAACCATGTCCATAAAATCGTGTCCATCATAATCTGGTCCATAATAGATTTTCCATCGACAACCTTCCACGAAAACTTGTTTATGAAATACTATAATAATTGGAATTCTTGAAAAAGCTTCTTTAGAGCAATTTTGCTTTCAGTTTAGAGTTTTGTACTGTGTATTTTGTTTTCAATTGTCAACAAAATAACTAATCTTCAAATTTTATGAACTGTGGTGGAGTTTTGAATCGAAGGATCTTCAAATTTTATGAACTGTGGTGGAGTTTTGAATCGATTACCTTTTACAAAATTGAGCTCGGCTACAGTTCTTTTAAGCACCCAAAACTCAGGATATCACCAAAAATAAGCAACCCAGATGTTAAGTAACCAGAAATCACCGAAAATGCATGACTTTTGGCATTGTAACTTAGCCCATATGTTTTGGAGAAGAAATTATGAAAGAATGAGGAAGGTTATGAGTGAATGAGCTTAAATATTTACTTATTACAGCTTTAAAATCGGTTGAGAAGCATTTATTCCATTTTCATGGTTGTTCATGGTGGTTGAAGAAATTGAAGTAGATGGCATTCTCGTAATTAAAAGTTCTTTAGAAGGTCCAATGAGACTTTAGCCAAATTAAAGAAAAATTGAAATAATAGATGTATAATGGCATTTTCGTTAATAATTTAAGTGGGAAAGATAAAATTGTGAGAAAATGACAAAAGTTAGAGAAAGAAAAAAAAAAAGATTAGTTTTGTGTTTGACTTTAAAATATGGGTTAAATCTAAAACTCTCCCTTGTTTCTATACAAATCTCTCAAACAATTGAGTTCATATACCTAGTTGACTAGGTTGTGTTTTCCACCAACTTACGTTATGACGGAAATATCTAAATTTGCATATTGTTTAGAATTTAGATATTTCGAATTTGCATGTCTACGTTATTTGTAAATAATGCACATTTCGAATTTTATGTTTCATTGCAATAAATGGACATGCAAGTCTACATTGACATATCCCACAATTCTTATTCATGCAATCTGTTCATGTTATCTAGATTGACGTGTTCAGACATTTTTCTTTTAAGTTTAGACTTTTTTTTTGTCACAAACACACTTCATTTATCAATTAAATAGATACATTTTTGTATCATTAAACCAATAAGCTTAGACAAAAAAAAAGGCTGTATTTATGAGTAAAATGAGAATAAGGACCCAAAAATTAGACTTATACTGTAAATAAGAACCAAACATAATTAAAAAAAAAAAACAATATACGTAATTTATTAATAAGGGAGTCCCAATTATTTTTCCCCTAACGGCTTTTTATTTTACTGAGACGGGCCTCGATGTGCTGTGCTTTAATTCTATGTAACTCATAGCAGATTCGTTTAGTTTGAGGAGGTTTTATGTACCAATTGAAACATTGCAAGTTCGATTATTAACATAAGAATACAATTTAATTAGCTAAAGTCTTTAAAGTAATGAATAGAAAAATGTACCATCCAACAACTTCTATCATCTCATCACTTCCTTGAAAAATATCAAACCTTCTAGAAGCCACTATGGAGAAAGTAAACAAAATAGTATAACTTGAAATCCTGATTTACACAAAAAGTGTCATTTTTTTGTTTGAGATTGTTACTATTTTTTTTATAATTTATGATCTCAAACCAAAATCCAAACTAATCCTTGGAATCGGCAATTCTTTTTTCTTAAATATAATTTTAAATTATATAAAAAATATTTTGTGTCAAATCAGACAAACCTCATGTTAATTGATACAGAGGAGTCTGGTTCTCAGAAGCCACTCCAAAGTACAGATTCATGGCTTGGTTAGCTTTTCGTGATCGGTTAGCCACTGGTGATATGATCAATAACTGGAATGTCAATACAGACTCAAATTGTACTCTATGCAGTGATCAGTTAGAAACGAGGAACCATCTTTTTTTTCTCTTGCCCATTTTCGAAAGAAGTATGGAAAACACTAGTGCATGGTTTATTAACCATCAAATTTTCAAGTGTTTGGGAGGAGGTGGTGGAGCTGATCGTTAAGCCACCAGTAAACCAGATATCAGCTTTCTTCCTTAAGTATGCATTTCAAATGTCTATCCATTCAATTTGGAGGGAACATAACAACAAAAAGCATAGGGAGAAACCATCTACTGTCTACCGTATTGCGAATATTATGGACAATAACATGTGAAATCAACTCTGGTCGATCCAGAAATCAGGAGACATGCAATATGAGGATGGTTTACAAATTTGATTCGCTATAAGATAGACTGTGTTTTAGTGTTTTTAAATTTTTTTTTTAAAAACATTTCAAAAAAGCTGTAAAAAGAATCATTTTTTTCTTTTGAATATAATTTTACAATAGTTGGCAATTCTTACTACTTAACTACTTAAGAGGGTTATTATATCAGGTGGCTAATGTTAAAGTATTATATTACAATGTGGTTAGAGAGACAAGAGTAACAGCGTAACGAGGGTTCACGATGTAAAATAATCAGGTCAACACAGGCAACATAGGTGATCTACTTCCAACATAAGTAAAAAACAAAAATTTAAAGTTTTCACATTTGGACAACATAAGACAACACAAAGTTTTCATAACCTAATAAATTTTTTTTTTTAAGTTCATAACCTACCAAGTACTAGGTGATCTCTAAAATCTGCTCTAAGATCGTTTTTATTTATATATGCTAAGATACTTCGTGGGGGGAAAAAGAAGATATCATAATCTAGTTATGTCTTCCACCTCTGAAACAATCAAGTTAGAGGTAATTAACTCAATGCAAAATCATGAAGATAGACTTAATCCTAAATTGATTCCAAAACCCAATAGAGGTGAAGCAAATTTAAATTTACGCTCTATTTTTCTTTATATTATACAAGTAAATTAACGAATTAAAAAAATCAACAAATTACTGACTCATCTCAAAATTCAAATTCATAATAACCAGTTAACCACCATATAAATTTACGTAGTAACAAAATATACCTACTTTAAGATTGAAATGATATATAATACAAAACCACTGAACCCAGACTCAATTTTAAATGACTAATATAAGATGAGACGATAATATTCTGATCTGCAAATTTTAAGTTTATGTACAAAAGTTGGAGGACAATGAAAGATGAAGAGTAAAAGCAAAATTAAGAGTCAAACATTATCACACGTACAAATTATCCTTTTCTATATAATATATATTTTGTTTATTTCATTTCCAAGCTCCGAAAATCCAAAACCCTTGTCTTCAAACCCAAGAAATCATAACCAATGCTGCTTGTACTACTAATGTCAATCGAAGAATAGCTAATGCTACTGCTATCCTCTGTTTGACATTTTGCAGTATCACTACTACACTGCATGCCGTTTTCTATATAAAAACGGGACGCAGTGTTTGGAGATCTCTGATCATCATCATGATTCAGGTTTTGCCATGGTGGACTGATCCTAAGCTCCAGACTCAAATCTGGGCATATTTCTTCTTTTACTTCCTCAACAACAATTGGGTAGTACTCAAACCTCTCTTCTTTGCAAACTAAGCCATTACTTCGATTCCGTTTTTGGCTTTTATTTTGCTTCTGCTCCTCCGAATTTTTCGTTTTCTCAAACCGAGACACAAAAGAAACATCTTTTACAATTTGGTCCTCTGTTTTCTTCGAATCAGGAATTTTCGCCTCGTTGATCGATCTGTGAGTAGCGGGATCAATCCCTTTGCTCAAAAGCTTCCTCTTTATATGCGTGTTCCAGTAATTCTTGATCTCGTTATCTGTTCTTCCAGGCAATCTCGCTGCAATCAAAGACCATCTGCATTTAAAAATAAAAAAACAGAGCATGAGCTTCGTAAAACAGAGCATAAGCTTGAGAAAACAGAGCATCGTAAAAAAAAAGAGACTCACTTGTTTCCGAGAAGGCTATGAAGCTTGATTATAAGCTCGTCTTCGTCGTGGGTAAAGTTTCCTCTTTTGAGATCAGGCCGGAGATAGTTAATCCACCGGAGACGACAGCTTTTGCCACAACGAAGGAGACCGGCGGCTCTAGGTAAAGATCGCCAACAACCTTCGCCGTGAGACTTGATGTAAGAGACGAGCCTCTCGTCTTCTTCTTTAGTCCAAGCACCTTTGTTCATGTGTTCCTTCTCGCAGCAAGGAGATCTTCCCATGGTTTTTCTTCTTCTGCTCTTGCTTCTGAAGTTAGTTGTGAGGCTTTTATGGAGAGAGGAGAGAGAGAAAGGGAAGAGAGAGAGAAAGGTTGGAGGTGGAAGGTGAGCCTAATTGCTTCTAGAAGAGAGTTGGTAGGACACGTTTGAAGGAGTGGCTGTGTTTGTTTATTATTTTATTTTACATCAAACTATAACTACCACATTCACATTATTCACTATTTTTCTTTTCCTTTTTTCCCTTCGATGTAGATCTCAATCCATTTATTATGATATTAAAAAAAAAAACTTCCAATTCATCAAATCTCAACATGAAACGCTACATAATCATGTGGCCATGTTGGTCCGGTCAGTTCGGACAAGTGTATGATCTTAGTTAAATTCTTACATAATCATGTTAATTGTACAAGTGTATATATGATCTTAATTAAATTTTTACCGTCTCTAACTATATCGTCACTTTTTTACCGTTATCATACAGAAAAAAGAATATTTGACCTATGCCACCAACCAGACTCATATGTACAGACAGAAAATAATGAAAACTTGTCGATACATTGTTGTTAATTAGAGATCTTCATCAGGGTTTTTAAACTCATTTTGTTTTGTGGTCCGGTTTCATAAGCAAAAGAGATTAAAAAATAGTTTTGGGCCAATTTTGGTAAGAAACGTTCTTATAATAGCGGACGAGATCGTCTCGTAAAACGCGTGGCGGTGTATTATTAGCCGTTTTTTTTTTCCAATTTTGTTGAATTATTTTGTGATGGAAAAAATGATGTGTTGGGGGAAACAGAAAAGGGTTTTTCCTATACCATTTCTCTATCGAAGTCGTTGGTGAAGGTGATTGCGAGTGACCTCGTCGAATCCCGGAGATCGTATCGCCAGCTGTTTTTTGCACCTCGGGTCCATCTCTTCCGTCGACTGCATAAGATAATCATTTCTCAACCTGTTTAATTGTTTTTTGTGCTGCGATTTGAGGAAATTAGGGTTAGTCGATTTGGGGAAATTTTCGCATGTATCGTGGGTTCAAATTAGGGTTATTTGTGTATCGGTGTGTGTATGTGGTAGTTGTTTAACATCGATTACAGTCGATTTGTGGGGTTTATGTAAATTGAATTGGGGAAACTAGGGTTCGTCGAATTTGGGGGAAATTTTTCACATCATTGAAACGCATAAACAAAGGGTTTATTCGATCGACTGTGTGTTTAGGTCTTAACAATGATGGAAGCGATAAAAGGGTTTGCTCTGTGTGTTATTCAATTTTGGTTTGAACCCGATTTCTATGTCTTCATTGTAGAAAACGTTTTTCGGTTTGAATCTCTTCACTCTCTCTCTCTGTCATTAGCATCGGTTGATAGTTGTAATGAGTTCCACTCTGTTTTGTTTAATGTTATTGAGAAGTAAGATACATATGTGTATTGACATCGATTTGTGTTCTCAATATGGCTAAGTGTTTATAGTTTGAGTTCACTGTTCTTGTTATCGATTATGTGATCTATTGTTTAGCTTTGTGAGTTCTTTGATTTATGTGATCTTATGTTTTTGTTAAATGATTTGTTAAGTGATTGTTTATGTAACTTTCATCCGAGAATGACTTGTTAAATGACTTTCATCTCAGAGAATGCCTCATTACAGCGAGACATCATCCGAAGGTCCAGAAATAGATATGGGGTGGGCCTACGCGGATGCTACTTACGGGATCCCGGAAAAATGTTTCTGTGGGAAACATATGAAGCTTGAAACATGTACCGGTGGTGCGATGGGATCAGCAGGGCACTTGTCTTGACTGGGTGACTGAGGTAAGGTGTACTTAGAATGTTGTTTTGTTGTTGCTTTAAATTGCTTCGTACATGTTTAACTAGTTTGACTTTAAAATCTACTCCTATGTAGGGCCGTGGTGAGCACAAAAGGCAATGGTGGGATGAAGCTGTTACAGAGCAGTTCTCCATCGTCGAGTTGAGGCTTCAAGAGCAAAGGAGATGCTGTTCAGCGTCGACAGGCGTCATGCTACTAATCCCACCATTGCAGAGTTAAAGAAAGACGTTTGAATGCTTCAAGAAGATGTGTCTATGCTTCAAAAACATGTGGCAATGCTTCAAGAAGATGTGTCTATGCTGAAAGTCCACAATGCTAACCAAGGTGACGCCTTCATGTTGCTTTTCATTTTTGTTGTATTCGCTGCAGTTTCTTATATTTTTAAGTAGGTTGATCTAAGTAAGACAATAACACATGTTGAATGAATGTTGTCTTCATCTAAGCAAGACAAACGTGTTTAACTGTCTTTTTTTTTTCCTAAGTAAGACCAAGGCTTGATTGTAATGTTGAATTATGGATAACTTTTAAACTTAAGGTTCCTGATAAATCGTTTAATGCGTTTTTGTTTATTGCCGATGTATACTTGTTTGTGTTTAATGCTAGATAGCTTTTTGTTAGGTAGAGAAGTTAAAGCTTAGTCGTTGGCTCATTTTGAATGCTCTATGTCTTTGAACACTTATTTTTATTTTTTGTTGAGGTTACCATGGTGGGATAATCGAGATAACAAGTGTAGATGATATTATCACCGAGTCTTTTCATCAAGGTTAGTCTCCTTTGTCCTCTTTGTCTTACTGGAACTAGTTAGTCATTGCTTTGATATGAATGCTTCTTGAACTACTTAGCTGAAATAGTTTGTTTTGATTTAAATGTGTGTGCTTTGTGATCTCTAGTGATCAATGCTTGTTAGGTTAGGGTTAGTAAATGGAACTCTGCTTTATTAAATCATTATTAAAAACTTCTGCAATATAAATAAACTTTCTCTCACTTAAAAACTTCTACAACATTAAACAACATAAAAACTTCTACTACCTCTTTCTTAAACACTACCGAACCTTTGTAAAACTTCAAAACCAAACACATAAAACACTTAACCTCTTCCTAATGGATTTCGGCAATCATTGTGGTCAGACTGAAGGTTAAATTTGTAAACCTTTTAACCAGTCAGATCCCTAACGACGGCTACTCGCACATCATTGATCTTGGATCATCAGAAGTCCCTGTGTTTAGTACACAAACTTCTGATGCTCCAAGTGGAGGAGTGAAGACACCGGCTCAAAGAATAAAGTGGTCACCGAAGGAGGATATCATCCTCATCAATTTGTGGCTGAATACGAGTAAAGACCCGGTGGTTGGGAATGATCAGAAAGATGCAGCCTTCTGGAAGTGCATAAGCTACTACTACAACTCTTCACCGCAGCTTGCCGGTCAGCCAAAAAGGGAAATAGGGCAATGCAAGCAACGTTGGTGTAGGATTAACGATCAAGTCTGCAAGTTTGTGGGATGCTATGAAGCAGCTATGAAAGAGAAGACCAGCGGCCAGAATGAAAATGATGTCATGAAAGCTGCTCATGACATCTTTTTCAATGATCACAGCTTCAAGTTTGGTCTAGAACATGCATGGCAGGAGTTAAGACATGACCAGAAATGGTGCAAAGCCTCTTCTCTCAAAGACAGTGCAAGCTCAAAAAGACAAAAGCTGGATGAAGGCGGTTCGGCTCAGTCATCAAACAATGTGGAGGTAGTAGGCAATGGAGATGATGCTGCAGGGTTGCGACGACCACCGGGTGTGAAAGCAGAAAAAGCAAAAGCCAAGAAGCTAAACAGCGGTAAAGAAGAAGGAAAGGCACTACTTAAGTTTCAGAACTTGTGGAGTATTAGGCAACAAGGTTTGGAGATGAATGCACAGCTTGCTAAGAGTAAGCAACAAGATTTGGAGCTGAAGGTAAAGCTTGCTAAACACAAGACCCTCGACAGTCTCCTAGCAAAGACTGAGCTGCTCTCTGACATCGAAAATGCCCTGAAGAACAAGTTGATTTCTGAGTTGTTGTCTTGATGCCTTTTTAGAACTCTATGAACAGTTAATGTTATGTTGTCTTTTTGGTTTCGTTTGTTTAGCGGTTTATGTTTTACTGTTTTAGTGTTATGTTTGTCTAATGCCTGCTTCAGATTATGCTGCCTAAATGTCTGTTTTACTGATATGTTGGACTATAGACTAAACCCAGATTCTTATGTTGACTAAATATGTGTATGTCATAGATTGATATTTGCTGTGAGAACACAGTGGACTTTGGCTCTGAGAACATCAATATTACATTGATTTGAAGGATCCCTTGGCTACTGAAGGTACGCATATATTCCCTTGGTTTGTGTGTATTTTGTGACTTGTATTATTGGATTTCTATGACTCTTGCTCTCTTTTTCAGGCTTCGAAGAGTGCTTTATGTGGGACAAGGAGTTCTGGGGTCTTCTGTCACGAGAGTTGTAGTCTTGGTTACTTGTGTCACGAGTGTTTGTAGTCTTGGCTATCTGAAGAGGTTCCATACTTTCAACAAAGATGGAACGCTACCGGTCGTTTAGGGCTATCAGCACTACAAAAATGTACAGCAGCAATTCGAATGATGGCGTATGGTTGTGCGGCAGACGCGGTGGACAAATACCTGCGACTAGGTGAGTCTACTGCAATTTTATGCTTGTAAAATTTCAATGGAGGTATAATAGAATTGTTTGGAGATGAATACCTTAGAAGATCCAGACCAGAAGATCTCCAACACCTACTCGATGTTGGAGAGTCACGTGGCTTTCCCAAGACGATAGGAAGCATTGACTGTATGCATTGGGAATGAAAGAATTGTCCTACCGCTTGGAAAGGCCAATATACATGTGGTTCAGGAAAACTGACAATCGTATTAGAAGCTGTGGCATCATACGATCTTTGGGTATGTCACGCATTCTTTGGGCCTCCAGGTACTTTAAATTATATAAACGTCCTTGACCGCTCACCTGTTTTTGATGATATATTACAAGGTCAAGCTCCGAAAGTGAAGTACTCTGTCAACGGTCACGAGTATAAGTTGTCTTATTACCTCACAGATGGTATCTATCTGAAATGGATAACTTTTATATAATTTATCAACCTTTCACAAGGTGACAAAGCAACATTGTTTGCTAAAGTTCAAGAATCCGTCCGAAAAGATGTCGAATGTGCTTTCGGGGTTCTCCAAGCTCGGTTTGATATCATTAAAAATCCAGCACTAATCTGGGATAAGGAAAAAATTGAGAAGATTATGAGGGCATCCATCATATTACACAATATGATTGTAGAAAACGAACGAGGTAATCGCAGTCTGCATGATATATCAAGATTCCAACAACCAGATAGAAGGAGATCGTAACAAGTTGATATGACGTAATCTAGAGATATGCCTACAAATATCAGCAATATGATCGACATTGGTAATGAAGTTCGTGATCACCAATTACATAAACGTTTGAAAGCTGATCTGATGGAGCATATTTTAGAATAAATTTGGTGGCTAAATCACATATCGAATTTGTATGTCTTATATTGATGTTTTATGTTTTCTTGTTCAATAAGTTATATGTCTTAAATTTTTATCGTTTTATGTTTTCTTGTTCAATTAGTTGTATGTCTTAAATTTCAGTATTCTAAAATTATTACCGACTTGTTTAAGTATAATTTTTAATAACATTTGAAAATTTTTTTAAAAAAATAAGTAAAATTAATTATTTTTTAAAAAAATATTATTTATTTTATTCTTAAGAAACACATATAGGAAAACACTAATGGACAGCAAAAAAACATGAGTCTCTTAACTTTTTCTCTCTAAAAAAAAGTACTAAACTATTCCTAAGAAATCCATGTTGTGTAACACTAATAGAAATGTTCTTAGACCATGATTATTGCTGGGTTCTTGTTAAGATGCTCAAGGCTTTAATTTTCAAAATTAAATCAAAAAGGCCCAAGAGAAGAGGGATCGATCCCTATTTGAGCATCACAAGGATCGATTCTAGTTACTAGTGGCACCACAACATTAGTTATCTTTATTTTAATTAAAAAATTATTAATATTTTTCTTTTTTTAAAAAACCTAAAAGAGTAGTTAGCAATAATCATGCAATAATTATGGTTTCTTACAAATATTATTTAATCCAAAAAAAATCTTAAAATAATGTTAAGAAACCCAAAAGGGTAGTTAACAATAATCATGCTCTTAGTTTTAACTTGTAGAATTAATAGAACTTTTATTTAGATAATTTCACATTGTGGTAGACTGTTAGTGTGTGTGATTGGTCATGATGAATTGGTGGATATTAGTTAAAAATTTAAAAGGAGAATCCTACAAGAAGTGGTTGTGATCTGTGAACGCAATGATTCTTAGGATGATAGGTATTGCAAGTTTAGCATACGTTGTGATTATGATTGTAGTGCACAAGGTTATGTATGAAACTCTTTTGTGATCCTATAGGACTAGATGATTTAAACAATTAAACTGCATCTTTTGTTCGGGCTTAAATAATCGTTTCATTGAGTCTATTATGTAATAGTCCATCTCAAGCTCTTGCTGATGAGCTTGGCTAGCTAAGACTTAACTTAGTGACTTTGTGTCTAGGAGCACGAGGAATCGAATCATTTTAGCGTATTTTCGTATTTTTGGTTGTTAACGGTTTTTTTATTTTATTTTAGCCTGGATTGTAGCTTACATGCCTAATAATATCATGGATTTTTTTTTTTTTTTTGTGGTTGGAGTTATAAGATAGAGTTGGTTTGATACTTTGGAGGTTGGACCGTATTGCTGAAAATATTAATGCCTATGACGACAAAGGGCAAATCCGATCAGAACAAAAGTGAAAATGTTTCTTACTAAACGGATTATTGAAAAAACAAAGTTATAAAAGCATATTATTTTTGGAAGAGGTGATAATAGCTTATTGCTCTCCCTTTATTAATTTCAAACATAACATGATAATGCATGGGAAATGAAAAAAAAAGTATATATAGTCCTAGTCAAATTCTTGATCTTCATCTATGACTTAACCAACATGATAGGCTTCAAGCTTGTGATTTGTTTGATTGGTGTTGATATACATACCTTTTCTATTAGTTAATCCTATATTCCAATCCAAAAAAAAAAAAAATATTTGTAAAGTTCACACCCGAGTCAAAATATGTGAACAACATTACACCGTCTAATGATATTGTCAATTAGTGTTTCCACGTGTCAACGCTTTCCACCCTCAAAAATATATAAAACACATACAAAACAGATATATATTGAAAGAAATAAAAGGTTCTAGAATATCAGTGTTGTACCAAACTCATATATCACTATCATCTTGTTGGGACAAAAGCCCTAATGTCCATTCGTGACGCCTTGTGAGGAAATAGTCCAACTTAGTTTTTTTTCTTCATCGTTATTTTATTATCATAATCCCAACACTTCTTTTTCATTTGTCTAAATGATTGATTGATGGTTAAAAAAGTTTGTTAGATACAAAGCTTTTGTTTATTTAATATAATTGGTCATTACCTTGCGTATTTAGATTGCTTGTTCTTATATTGTTTACTTTTTTAATGAAAATTTGTTAGGAAAAGACTTGATTGATAAGCTAAATTAAGTCCCTCGATATTATATATACTCGTCCCTTCGAAACTAGAAGATAAACCTATAGTTTATCATACAAGAACAAGATACGTAACACGTCCGCATTATATTAGAATACAAAACTATTATCAGATTAAAAATGTAAGCTCAAGTTCGTATCTGAAGGTAAAATTTTAGTTAACAATATTTTCTTGTTTTTTCTTGAAATGCGGTGATATTGATTCCAAACAATATAGTAAAACAATGACAAAAGTTGTTCGATGAAACATATTCTTGAACCATATATTGTAAGACCGCGAAAATCCGATTGAAATCACGAATAAAAATAGCAATTTTATAAACTATATGTTGAGGTAAGAGATTAAAACGAGAGTTAGAAAACCGAATGAAACAGACGAAAACACAGAGTCGAAATATAATCTCTTTCTTTAACTCAATAAATCGCCTGTAATGTGTGACGGTTTGTTGCGATTTTTGAATCCTAGGATACAACCGTGATGAGACTATTACGCAACACCCGTAATAGAATCTGCGAACTGAGATTATACTATGCTATAACTCTCGAGACACTTACGATATTAAGACGAGAGGGATTTGCTGTAAAGAATTATTTGCTGGTTGTTTTGTGTATTCGAGAATTCGATGATTTAGAATGAGAGAAGAGGGCGTCTATTTATACTGGAAGGTTCAGCTTGATCCGCAAGGAATAAGCTTTGGCGAAAAAGAATATTCGCGAGATATTCTCTTTTTTCCGCAAGTAAAAGGATTCAGAAATCTTCCAATTATTATCTGGACGCAATCTTTTATTTCTTAAGATTTATCATTTTAATATGCAAAAAATATTTCGTAGGAACTAAGAAGCCCATGACCCACACCCAGCTATATAGAGCCCAAGAGACTTAAGAGCCAACTAAAAAATGCAACGTGCAACGTGCAACCAGCACGGCACCGGCGACGATGACGGCGGCCGTACGTGTTTTTACGTAATGCCCTTTTACTTCCACAATGCTGTTGACCCTTATTGTGAGAAGGTCATATATATACAAGAGATTTTTTCTCCTTGGTGAGCAAGGTGGGACAAATACACTTCCACTAAACTTCCACTTTTAGTTATAGCCAATAGGAACATTTCATTTCCATAGGCTCAAACTCAAATCTCAAATGAATTTATAAGGCTCATTTGCTTATTAAACTTTATTTCTTATTCACACACAAACTCAATATTACAAATCTAAATGCTTATTAATATTGGGTTCCAACCTATATCTCCACATGATAAAGAAAAAACCCTAATTAAGAATACCTTGTACATATATCAATTAGTATATATCCATTAATCTTCGAGAAACCATATATACTTAGGATTTCATAATGTATAGTGTAGGAACTGTAATTTTTTATAAAAAAAAATTACAAGAAAAAACAGGATGATACTGTTGTTTTTAACGAAATTCATTAATTAATTTACGTAAGACTGTATATTTAATATCCGTCCATAAGAAATAAAAATAGTAAAAAGAAAAACGAGTGGTTGGAAATGAGAGAGAGAGGTCATGACTCATGTGACCCGACCTTACCTTACAATGTACAAAGACAGATTGCAACATACACTTCATCCTGAAAGTTGTTCTAACTACCTGTTTTCTAATTATCATATTTTAATTTTTAACCTCGGCTTTTTCTATGTTTAGCGTCTGCATTTACTGTTTATCAAACAAAATTAACAAAACACTGACATTAAAATCTCACTAAAAAAAAAAATACTATGCTAACGTGTGCACATAAACACAAATGTACAAAAATCAAAGAACCCGGAATCGATATATATATTAGCTTATAAATGAATCTCTAAATATTATCCCAAACATTCTAAATAAAAAGAAAACAATTAAGGACATAAAATCCCAAAAAAGTCTAAAGAAGCTTCGTACCTAACAATACCAACCATGTCTAGTCCTCGATAGGGTTCGGTTTCAGGTAAGTCCCACTTGGTGTAAGGTGTGGTGGGTACTTTTTCACCAATTTTATATCAATCAATGCTATAACGTATTAAATTTAAATATCAACGTTACGTAGAGTACGAGGCAACTCTACAACGAAGCGGTATGTAAAACCATGGACCACCAAACTTAACAGAAATTAGTTAATTTAATAACAAACTAAAACCACTAAGACGATCCCGTACTAAACCGAACTATACCAAACCAAAGTGGATTATAACAGATCAATATGTTTTTACTCGACCTAGGGCGAGGAGTTTAGAATCCAAATAAACCGAACTGGTCCAAATTGGAAATAAAAAGTTCAGTCTAAAAACTGGGAAAAATCGTTTTAGAATTCCAAGAAACCAAAAATTAACTAGAACCAATAACCCGAAAAAAATCCAAACCAAAACATAGTTTTAAAAATTGAAGATATATCCGGTTAAGACCTCAACTCTTACGATACCAATATTACCAATCCCTTAGTAGAATTGGTTTCACGATGCTTCAGGGTGGAAAACTTGAACCAAAACCTGAACGGAACATCCTTGACCAATACAAACCGAACCAAACTAATACCACTAATAATGCCGACTGTTGGATCAATGTGTTAAACTGTTGCAGAAATATAAGAATCTAGGAGTTCATATTATCTCGATAAATGCATCATGCATGCTTACAAAAACCAGAGATAGGAAGGGGATTCGTTTATAGGTTTTACTTCTTTCTAATTCATTTACTTCATCTTCCTGCGAATTTCATAGAAGTAGCCAAAGGCCACAACAGCAGCAGCGACCGCGACTCCGACTGCACTATGTGCGAGCACGGTGCTATCTGTTATTGCCTTAGCGATGGAAGACGTCGGTGTGAACCCGAGCTCTGAAAGTTTCTTGTGTGACTCCGCATAGTCTCTGAAGAATGCATCTTCGTCCTGTTGGTACAAAACATTAGAAACAAAATGGTTAAACAAAAGAAGAAGCCAAGATGACACTTTACAACATAATCTTGGCCAGTCTATATGAAACTCGATCGGTTTGCAGGTCTAGAGTAATAATTCACTCGGATATTTGGATCACAATGAAGACAATACCTTTGCATAAAGCTCAACGTAGTGACGGAACTCTGGGACTTCCAACAAAGTCTTGTCTGTCGAAAGTTTCAGCAAGCCCTCGGATTCTTCTTCCTTCAGTAATTCCCTTTTACCAACAGTGATCAAAGTCCAGTAATCAGTGAGAAGTGAGAACAACTATTTGTAGTCCTCAACAACAAAAAAAAAAAAACTGTCCATGACTTAAGATGATCTTACACAAAGTATGAGTTATCAAACTTGAGAGGATCTTGAGTCCATGGTCCATCGAAACCTGATCTCTCTGGATGAGCCCTTCCCTAAACATCAGAATTTTATTAAGACCCCAACACAGCTATGTTTATTTAATACTAAACGACAAATGTGAATTGTGAAACAAAGAATTTACCAGAGTATGAGCCCCTGAGAGTGCCACAATATCTTTATCAGACAGTCCCATTCGGTAGAAAACATCTTTAAGATGTTTGAAACCTAAATGCAAAATTAGCAGACATAACTTCAAACACTCATAGTGGAAAGAATATACTGTACATGGGGCAACACCAAGTACTATATGCGATCATCTTCCATTATTTATTTGCTCCTCAGATACTAAGTACATTAGGGGTCTTTCATTTAAGTAATTCACTTTGGTGTTTGTAATAATTGGGAAAAAAAAATCATCCTACCTTGATTAGCATCAGGAAGTCTTCCTTCGTCGGTGCAGTCATTACAATCCTATAAGAGAGAAACATACAAGTAATATAGTTAAATTGTATTTGGCGGTAAACTGTAATACCATTCATCTTAGTAGCTGAGAAAATATTACTTTTCTTCCAGGAACAAAACTGATGTCAGGTCCACCAGTAACTTCAACCGCTACCACGCCAGCAAGCTGAAAATATGACAGAATCAATTTCGAGCGAAAATGTAAGGTCTGTAAATTCCAGGATAGAATAGCATTGATGAGTGAATAGTTAAAGGCAAACAACAGAAATGTTTACATGCCTTATTGACAATGCTATATTCAGGATTCTTTTCACAAATTCACAGTCAAAGATAAAGTGGCACTTTTTTCATTTGTGGTCCTTGGTGAAGTGTATTTCCATGCAGGCTACCACGGAAATGGTTTTGACTGTTTTTGTTAAGCTTCCTCGATAATTGAGACACCATCAATATACTTTACTTAAAAGAACAATTGTGAAAGCAAGAGACCAGAAAACTATTACTGTTCATGTGTGTGAGTGTGAAAATTCTTCAAATTGCAAATATGCCAAAGATATTAACCACAAAGCACAATTGTCAATTTCCTGTTTCTATACCCTGAGGACAACAATCATACAACGATCAGCCAAATAGATCTAAAAACACTTTTGATGAGTTTATGATTAACAACTTGTAAAAAGTCACAGGACAATCCGAAGAAAGAGCACAAAAAAACAAGATGGGAAATTATAGAGCCAACACAACTGGACAAAACGAGCCTTTGTTTTATTGTCTTAAAATCCAGTAGGAACCTTTATGTTATCATAAAACTTCAAGTCAAAATTCGTTTAAGTTTACCTGGTATAGGTCCGCATAACTGATCTTGGGAAGTTTAGATTTCACGTCCTCTGAAATATCAAAGAATCAACATCAAATTCCAAAAGAAAAAGTAAGACTGTTCTTGAAAATTTCATTCGTAACTCATAAGACACCATAATACAAGCACATGAATACAAGGCAAAGGTCTCTAAAACTGATAAGCATATAAGACACACACTAACAGGTTTAACATGTAAACTTCTCATAAATCCTCAGGACTACTAATAGAAGTATAGAACGATCTCATTACAAGTAAATCTGTATAATCCAGGTCAAACCATAGCCAACACATAATCATCTAAAGGTCACTGTATCTAAACTCCATAAAGAAGCGAAAGGAGAAACGTACCACAGAGATCGAGAGCGATTTTCAAACCACTATTAGCACCATGACTGTACTCCGTTTCGTTCCTAATCGATCCATTAGGTCCACCGGTCTTCGATTTGGCGTCGTAGGTTCCAGCATCATGCCACCTTTCACAAACCAGAGAAGACGACAACAAGTGAACCAAAGCAAAGAACCAGAAATCGCACATGAAAGCAAACAAAATTCCAAAGCAGCGCGAGATTCCTCAAATTTCCCAGGAAAAGAGACCTCATAGCACTCAATACGAGGGAATCGCCAAAAAGAAAACGACAGAAATGAAAACTTACGCCAATCGGAGCATGATCGGAGCGCAATTCTTCTTAGCGATGAGCGAACGAAGCTCACGGCGAGCCTTTTCGACCTCCTTAAGGTACTCCGCGTCAACTACGAGTGCCGCCATTGTTACTCTGAGTTTTGAGAGAGCGTGTGGGAGAGAGCGTGTGGGAGAGAGCGTGTGGGAGAGAGAGAGAGAGAGAGAGAGAGAGAGAGAGAGAGAGAGAGAGAGAGAGAGAGAGAGAGCGATATATAAGAGAATTTGGTGAAGGAAGAAGCGAAATTCTTGTTTTTTAGTTTTTCGTTGAAGTTTGGGCCAAAGAGATAAACCACCCAATGGGAAAATGCGATAAAAAGGAACAGATGGATCGGTGTCAGTGATCTTCTGTTCTCGGCAGTATGCTAACCTCTGGTGGACCTCATTACGTTGACTAAAGATTATTTTAGGCGTTAGAACTGCATGTCGCTTTTCTGTCATATAAACGAAGCGCGGTTTAATATATGATTTAAGAAATGGCACGCATGTTTGTTTTTGAAAAACAACTTGTTTTCAAACCATAGAAGATTCCGTTTTACATTGGTCATGCTATTTTCCTAAAACCGAAAAAACCTCAGCTGAACCAATCCAAAACCACTGAAAATTCCAACCGTTGGATCAATGTGTTATCTTCTAACAGAATATACAAATCTAGAGTTCATACTAGATCAACAAAATCTTCACCATCATATCCAAAGAGATCGGAAGAGGAAGCGTTTCTTTCAGAGAAGTAGCTACAAGCCACCAAAGCAGCAGCGACTGCGACTCCGAGCTTTGTAAGTTTAAGTTTCAGAGTTATCTTGTAAGATGGAAGTTCTAGTCCCAGAGATATGGACAGCTTGGTGCTCTCTGTTGTCTCCTTGGTGACTGAAGAAGTTGGTGTGAACCCGAGCTCTGAGAGTTTCTTGTGTGACTCCGCATAGTCTCTGAAGAAAGCATCTTCTTCCTGTTTGGGACGAAATTGGAAACTTATACAGTTGTTAACAAGAGCAAATCAAGATGCTACTTGCAACACAATCTTGGCTTGTCATTATAAAACTCGTTTTGCAGCTCCAGGATTGATAATTGAATCAGATCTTTGGATCAGAATAAAGGCAGGCTCTCATAATTTTCACCTTTGCGTAAAGCTCAGCGTAATGACGAAACTCCGGGACCTCCAACAAAGTCTTGTCGTTAGAAAGTTTCAGCAATATCTCTGATTCTTCTTCTTTCAGCAATTTCCTGGTACCAGCAGCGATATTGGATGTAAACAATTCAGTAGTCAGAAGTAATATTTGTCGTCCCAATACCAAAAAAAAAAAACAAGTGTCCACGAATTTAGAGGATCTTACACAAAGTATGAGTTATCGAACTTAAGAGGGTCTTGAGTGACTTGAGTCCATGGTCCATCAAAACCTGATCTCTCTGGATGAGCCCTTCCCTAAACATCGGAATCTAATTAAACAAAACCAATATACAACTTATTTATCAAATACCAAATGAAAAATGTGGAATGACGAAACAAAGAATTTACCAGAGTATGAGCCCCTGAGAGTGCCACGATATCTTTATCAGACAGTCCCATACGGTAGAAGACATCTTTAAGATGTTTGAAACCTAGGTGCAAAATTAGAGACATAACTTTGATCACTCACTGAGAAAAGATATACATTCAAATAGATGATTATATTATACATTGGGGAAACACCTAGATGATCATCTTCCATTCTATCTTTGCCACTCAGATACAAACGTCAGGTATTTAATTTTCAGTAAAATACTTAGGAGTTTGTGATTATTTGAAAACAAAACTTTCATCCTACCTTGATTAGCATCAGGAAGTCTTCCTTCGTCGGTGCAGGCATTTGAATCCTATAAGTGAGAAACATACAGCTTATATTGTTAAATTGCATTTGGCGGTAAGCTGTAATACTATTCATCTTAGTGGCTGAGAGAATATTACTTTTCTTCCAGGAATAAAGCTGATGTCAGGTCCACCAGTAACTTCAACCGCTACCACACCCGCAAGCTGAAAAATGACAGAAGCAACTTCGAGTGAAATGTAAGGTCCATTAAGTCCAGGGCTAAATAGAATAATTTGATGAGTGAAATAGTTGAGTGCCACTAGTAGAAATTATTACGCAACCTTATTGACACAGCTAAATGCAGGATTTGTTTACTATAGTCAAAGATCAAGTGGCACTTTTTTTTTTGTTAAGCTTCCTCCATAACTGTGACTCTATCTATATACTTTACTTGAAAGAACAATTGTGAAAGCCAGAGAATACAAAAAAGACTATTATTGTTCATGTGAGTGAGTGTGAAGATTCTTCAAATTGCAAATAAGCCAAACATTTCAACAACAAAACTTATTTATCCTGAGCCTGCGGACAGCAATCATACAAGTACAGCTCAAAAAAATATCTAACAACGCTTTTGATAGTTTATGAGACACAACAAGTTAAAAGTCACAGGACAATCAGAAGAAAGAGCACAAAAAAATAAGGTGCGAAATGATACTATAAGAAGCATTTGTTTACAGTCTTAAATCCAGTAGGAACATTTATGCAAACATAAAACTTCAAGCAAAATTCGTTTTAGTTTACCTGGTATAGGTCCGCATAGCTGATCTTGGGAAATTTAGTTTTCACGTCCTCTGAAAAAATTAAAGAATCAACATCAAAATCCACATAAGCCGATTATGAAACTTTTGTTCCCAAGTCATAAGACAACATGATACACCACATGAGAACAAAGGGAAAGGTTTCTGAAACTGATAAGCATATAAGGCACACACTAACAGATTTAACATGTGAAACTTCTCATAAATCCTCAGGACTACTGAAAAGAACGATCCGGGAGAAACATAGGCAACACAAAATCCTATTAAGGTCAATGTTTCAAACGATAACGTATATTTAGAAAGATTTCGAAATCGATATTATATAGGGTTCCAAATGAGGAAATTCTCGTCTCCTATAAACAGTTTAGTGCAAACAAAGACTGCATAGACAAGCTAGGAAACGAAATCCCTAAATCGATTTTCCACTCGAATCTTCAAATCCGCAGAGAATGGAAAAAAGAAAAACGCACCACAGAGATCGAGAGCAACTTTCAAACCATTATTGGCACCATGAGTGTACTCTTCTAGTCTTCTTCGTTCCTAATCGAGCCAATAGGTCTACCGGTGTTCGATTTGGCATCGTAGGTTCCAGCATCATGCCACCTTAACAAACCAGAGAAGACAAACATGAGATCGCAAATGCAGTAAGCAATATTCCAAAATAGCGCGAGATTTTCTCAAATTTCCACAGGAAATAAACCTCGTCGCGCTCAGCACCAGGGAATCGCGAAATAAGACGACAGAAATGGAAACTTACGATAATCGGAGCATGATCGGAGCGCAATTCTTCTGAGCGATAACAGCACGGAGTTCACGGCGAGCTTTATCGATCTGCTTAAGGTACTCCGCGCCAACGACGAGTGACACCATTGTTACTCTTGAGTCTTGAGTCTGAGAGAGAGTGTGTGTGGGAGAGAGAAAAGAATTAGTGTAACAAACCTCATTTGGACGGTAAACAGTCTATTTTCTCCGCTTACTATTGTATAATACACAATCCACCCACACTTTAAGGGTCTGTCTATTTGCCCCAAAACGAAAGTTAAAACTCTGGTTCCCTCTCGAGAGCTATGTCCCCCTAAATCCAAAATTTGATGGTTTGACATCGGTTCTTGACTTAAATCATAAACCAAATGTGTTTCACTCAAAATAAACCAAAAAACAAAACCGAATCTAACCCTAGATTTGACCCGTTCTCCGACCCGTTTCTCAGTTAAAATCCGTTTTAAACCCAAAAAAATCCCCAAATTCGAGTAGAACCCTAAAACTCAATATTTAAAAGCGAAACCTGCGAATTCAAAATTGAAACTTGAGAACGATGAGCAATGAATCCAACGCATCAAGTGGAGCATGAACTGGTGGCCGAGATCGAGGAAGAGTCATGGAAGTTCCGAGAAGATGTTGGTGCATGGAAAAAATAGCCAAAGGATATCCCGATCGGATTCGAATCCATACCGGCGATATTATAGGTGTGCTTTAGCTATTGCAAAGAAGGTAAGCTGGTTAACATATCAATTGTCATTGTTATGTTCACAATTGGCATTTTTCTGTAGCTTTCAAATTTGTGATTCAAATTTTTGTAGCTTTCAAATGATAATTATGTGTTTAAGTGGGTTGATGAGGTTCTGTTTAATGAGATAGAGGCATTTAGTTATCGAGCATAAAGACTTGAACATCAGATGAAAGAGCTTTCAAAATCACGTTTGGAGCTTGAGAAAATGGTGTATGAAACGATGAAAATGAAGCTACAGAAAGAGATATTTGAAAGACTAGAAGAAATCATAGATGAAACTGAATCCAAGATGAAAAAAATGATGGTGCTTGCGGTCTTTGGGTGTGTGGCCATTGTCGGAATCAGTATGCTTTTAGGTTGAATCTCATATGGTTGTGATTGTGTGTTTGTTGTTGTTTGTTTTTCTTAGTGTCTTTGTCGACATTGATGGTCTTTTTTTTGGCAGATTCAGTACGCTTTAGGTTGAGTCTCATTTGGTTGTTTGTTGTTGCTTAGTGTCTTTGTCGACATTGTTGCTTGTTTTTTCATATCTTTATCAACATTTGGTATTGAAATACAAGCGCTATTAACCATTACAAGAGAGCAACTTTAAAATGTGCCTATAGCTTTACCAAGCAATTTATGCAACATAACATTGATCCAAACAGGTTCCAAAATGATAAAAAAAAACAGATAATCTTAGAACATAACATTGATCCAAATGATTCAAAGCCGGTTCCAAACTAGTCATAAATAGTCAGCCGAGAATATAAATTGGTTCAAACAATCCAAAAACAGACAAGCCGAGAATATAAGACACCTGATTTGTCTTGCACCAAAAACCCAAGACACCTAAATGTTCTTAAACATAAATAACCCAAAACAAGCTTCTACCACCAATCTTCTTCTACTCTTCAATCACCTTGCTGTGTCAGAATCCCTTGTGAAGACTCAATCTGCAAAGTCTGAACCGGAGTAGAGTCAGTCTGCGAAGACTCCTTGAAATCCCTGTAAAACCAAAATAAAAAACAAAACATACATAAGCTGATTACATTAATCACATAACCTTAACAAACAAACATAAACCACAAACCTTTTTATTTTTCTTATAATGCCACCTTGAACTATGGTTAGCTGTGCCACAAATCCCACAATGCATCACTCTCTTCAAAACTTTTGGTGCCTTTTTCACTGGAGATTATTTTTTCTTTTCTTCCTTTCCTTATTCTTCTTACTAACCTTCATGGTTTCTCCTTTCTTTCGACGAGGTGATTCAGGCCTTGGAGGTTGATGCACCGATGGTTCTTCTACTGCAGGCCAAAATCTTGCACCTCTCATTGGTGTTATCCCTTCCTGGTAAGTCCTTCTCCACAGGGCTGTCCTAAACCAGTGACATACATAATCCTCTGCCTGCAGCTTCTTGTTGATAATGACAGCATATGCATGCTCACAAGGAATACCTATGATCTCCCACCTTTTACAGGTACAAGTCCTCTCAAACAACTTGATATGGTATGAACAGCCACTGATCCTAACATCAAATGTTGAATTTGTAGATATGTAGACCGCACAATTTTTAGCTTTCTCATGCTCAAGTGCGAGATAGTCGATCACATATGGAGTGCACACACTTTGCCAATCCAATGCTTTGTAACTCCGTTTTGCAATTCTTACCATCGCCATCCTTGCAATTGTCTCTAGCATCGGAACTAGTGGCTTTGTCTCTGGCTTTGACTATAGAAAAATTCCATGACTCGGTGGAATTGTTCTCCACATCTTTACAGAAATTGCCAATCTTGTGGAAGGCTCTACACCAAGTTTTTGGTTTTGTCTTCATCAAATTCGCATGCACAGCTGAGTCGAAGCAGAAGATTTTGTCCAGATTCTCTTCATACTCTGTTGTATTGTAGCTCAATGCCAAACGCCATATCAACTTCTTCATCTCCGGATTTTTTCCATGTAATGCTCTCATGTTGGCATATATGTGTCTCACACATTTCCTATGCTTAATCTGAGGGAGCTCTTGATCAACAGCTGCAATAAGTCCCTAAAAAAATAAACACTCAAACAAAATTAGTGGAATGTATCAACATACAAGCAAAAAAACAATCAAACCATTAAAAAAACATGCAAACACACTTACTCTATGCCTATCAGACATCATAATGTATCCATCTCCATTTTTCAAATCCAAATCAATCTTAAGTTTCTTCACAAACCACAGCCAATTATCCTTTGTTTCAGCTGGTACAAACGCCCATGCTATTGGATAAATATCATTATCCCCATCTCGACCCATAGCAACCAATAACTGACCCTTCATCTTTGCTCTCAATTGGCATCCATCAAGACCTATAATCGGCTTACAAGTGTCCTTCCATGATCTTCTTATCACATCAAAACAGACATAGAATCTGTTGAATACATCTAAGCCTTGATCGTTGGGAATGCATTCTAGAGCCACCGTTGATCCTATATTTGCGTCAACTATCTCACGGCAGTAACCACGAAGCCTAGCAAACTGCTCATCATACTCTCTTTGGATCCATCTCAGAGCTTTGTTCCTAGCCGATTGACACTGATTACTTGTCACATTTATCCTCCATTTTTCCAAAATCAACTGTTCAATCTTCATTGGCATATAGTATTTTGGTTCTTCCCGGATTTTGTCAAGAAACAGATGAGCAATCACCGGACCCTTTAGCATCTCACAAGCGCCATTAGGAACACAGCTATGAGCTTGTTCAAAACTCTTAACCTGCCACTTAACTGTCTTTCCCGTAGTTGAGCAATAGATCCTCCAAGCACAATTATCACCATTTTCAGACTTACCTCGACATATGTAGGTCAGTTTAGTTTTGTCATACCTCCACTGTCTGATGTTTCTGCCGATCCTGAGAGCATAATCAAGCACAGCCTCTTTAAACGCCACTTCATTGAAGAACACTTGTCCTTCAAACAAGTTTCCTAACCCTCTGTCGAAGTCGCCTTTTTGAGAACCACCTCGTCGAGCACCAGGATGATTAGGAACAGCAATTGTGCGTTGAGTTCCAGCTTCGTCGTCGTCCGTTTCAGGGTACACATTGTGGAGCACAGGATCTTCATCAGCAAGCTCCATCAATGCTTTCTCGATGTTGTAATCATCTCGTTGCCGTCGATCTTCTCCATCAGAATCCTCCTCTCGTCGATCATCTCCAAACGCATCCTCCTCTTGAAATTCTGAAACCTCTCTCCACTCCAATGACTCCATTATCGAAATTCAGTCACCTCTGCAGCTATGGTTTCTCAATTTTGGGGATTTCTGTTTCTGGGTTTCATTTTTTTTTAGGGTTCGAACAGAATTGGGGATGAACTGTAATCGGGTATCTAATTCGGGTTTAGCGTTTTGGGTGGGTTTTAGTTTTGATTTTACGGGTCATAATCGAGTTTAGAAGGGTTTATTTGGGTTAATGCTGGTTAACAAATAAATGGTCTGCAGTAAACCAACTTAAAACGTGGTATGTGTGAAAATTGGTTTCGAATTTTGAATTTAGGGGGACATAGCTCTCGAACTTCAGTCGCAGGGGGAACTAGAGTTTTAACTTTCGTTTTGGGGGCAAATAGACAGAAGCTTAAAGTCTGGGTGAATTGTGTATTATACGATAGTTAAGGGGAGGGGGGGGGAATAGACCGTTTTCCCCATTTAGACTATAAAGGGTATTAATTTGATTCAGAGTCAAGCATCAACTTTTTTCTTGGCTGTTCAAAACGGCACGCGGTTAGATATAAAATTTAAAACGGCACGCGGTTAAATTTATGATTTATGTTTTTCACTATATACAGAGTACAATGAAAAGTAAACCATTAAAAATGTATCAATCTTGACTAAAGAAAAAAGAAATGTGTCAATAAATATCATGTTTAATTGACGTACGAGTTAATTCAGATTAATTTTATTATCCCTTTTAAATAGCAATAAGTCACATCATTCATATTTATTAATAATAATAATATGAAAACCTATGAATGAATCATTGAATAGTTGTGTTTTTCTATTGTACATTTTCATGTATAATTGTTAATTTATTCAAATATTACAATTCCACGGTTGTATCTTTTCGTTCTACTTTATTAATTGTATCATTCCGTACATAACCGCTGATTATTGATGAAAATCTATGAATGAATCATTGAACCATTGTGTATTTCTATTGTATATTTTCATGTATAACTGTTAATTTATTCAAAAGTTACAATGCTACAGTTGTGTCTTTTCGTTTTACTTTATTAATTGTATCATTTTGTACATAACCACTGATTATTAATAAAAACCCATGAATGAACCATTGAACCATTGTATCTTTCTATTGTACATTTTCATGTATAACTGCTAATTTAGTCAAATGTTACAATTTTACGGTTATGTCTTTCCATTTTACTTTATTAATTGTACTATTTTGTACATAACCTCTGATTATTAACAATTGTTTCTCTTAAAATTTATGTCTTTCCAAGATTGTATATATTTTGTTTCAATCTTTCTAATTTATTTTATTGACCATTTTATTTTATAATGCTCCAAATTTTGATCCAAATTTTGTTTTTCTTTCGAATAATATGATGACCTAAATGGATACAAAATGTGTCTTACAAAATTTGTGCATAGTTCGATACTTCGATCTGTTTACTGTATGAAGAACTTCTTTACATAGTGTAAAAAATATGTGTTTATAAAAATTAGTATTTTTGAACTTTCAAATAGATAAAATAAAGATAAAATACAAAATTTTGAAAATAGGAATTTTTACAATAGAACTCTTATGAAAAAATAATTGTAAATGAATTGTTAGTTGCCAAAAATCTAGGTGACTAATTGTAAATGAAATAACATATTATATTGTAAAATTAAATTTATGTATCGATTAGACATCTTACAATATTAAAATCCGAATGAATATGGTTGTTTCAATTGGATTGATTATGATTTATGAACCCATTTTGGATTGCCATGTTATCATTTTAAGCTAGCACATTTTTATTTTATTTTGGGTTGTTTTGAAAATAAAGACGTTTTTAAGTTTTTATTTGAGAAAAGGGTAGTTTTATGTTTTAATTAGTCAGGGTAGGGACATACTTTCATAATGTCAAACTTACCATTCTTTCTGAGAGAGAGAGAGAGACAGAGAAGTCTGTCCCTTAGAGAGAGACAGACGCGGAAAATACCGTAGGACCCTGGCGTAATCTGTGTCCGCGCGCGTAACAGCCGGGAAGAGAGCACTCACGCGCATGATTGGGTCGTTTTTTGGGCCGGATTTCGAATTTCGGAATGAAATTTCCAAAAACCACCTTACTGGGCCTCGATTATGGGCCGGAAACTACCCAACTCATTAGACGCAAAACTACCCTTCCTATTCTCTTTTTATTTTTTGGCGGGAAAAATTGTGGTTAATTAGAGATAATGGAGATAAATTGGTTAAAATAAGAAACAAAGTACCCTAACCAAATTAGAAACCCTAGTTTCCCTTTCCAGAAGATGTTGAAATTGAAGGGGAAATTATGCGATAATCAAGAGGAAAACAACCACGGTTAGTTACTTAATCCTATTATTGTACACCCATAGATTTGTCATTGTTATTTTCAAATTTTTTTGTTCTGGTGTTCGCTATTTGCCAGTATTTTTTTAGATATGGTGTTCACGATTTGCAGTGGATGCGTTCATTCTTGTTATGGCGGGAACTTGGATAAGATACTATACAGGAGATTGGGATTTCAAAATGGACATATCTCGTCGTGGAAGGTGCATAAATTGCAAAGATGTGTCCGGACCAGATGATTTGAGAAATCTGATTGCGCATGAGTTCGGATTAGACCCGAGAGTTGTTTCGGTGGAGATTTCCTACTGGTTTGATGATGTTCTAGCTGAGCTTAATGGTGATGGGAGTTGTCCATGTGTGATAGTTACTCCTCGAGAGTACAAATTCTTCCTTTCGCTGCATAAGTCTTACAAGTCTATGAATTTATTTGTCACATTCAAGGAGTCAGTAAATGGTAAAATGGTGAGATTGAAACAGAAAGAAAGTCTTGAAGTTCAAATTGCTAGGGAACGGCGAAAGTCCTTAGGGCATAGCCTCTTCTTCGGCAGAGTCTAGTCAACCCGATGATGAAGCAGATGATGAAGATATCGATGATTGTTTGCTGATAGCACATGCCGAGAAAGTAGAGGCAGAGGCCGCAATGAATACCTCCAAAGGTGTACAACCTGAAGCTGTCTCTGTAATCCATCCTCCATTGGGATTAAAAATGTCCCAGGAATCAGAGAAAGTAGAGGCTAAGGCCAGCACTAACACCTCCGTTAATGTAAAACCTGATGTTCCAAGTCACGCTGTATCTGTTGACCACCCTGAGTTGGAATTAAAAATGTCCCAGGAATCAGGCGAGGCGAGAGATTCGGAAGAGAGCTGATGATGTTGACGATGATGCATACGGCTATGATGATGATTATGATCCGGATTATGATTTGGACTGGTGGAATGATTACGTACTACCAGATGGTAAGGGTTTCCATGCTAAACCTGGATTTGATGAGGATAAGGATGACTCTGGTAGTTCAGGGGGTTGTGGAAGTACTCGCGGAAGTGAGCCAAGTGATTCAAACCATATGGACTACTCCATTGTCTTAACGGAGAGTCCTATTCATTTTTCTGGAAGAAAGAGGATTGTATGTGAGAAGGTTCTGGCTCCCCATGGAGATGATGATGATTTTGTGCAGACTCCGACATGTGATGTCGGTTGGGGGCATCAGAATGGCGGTGCAGAGCTGAAGAAAGAGATTAAACGTACATAACTATATGGATTTCCGGATGTGGCACCAGTCTCTGATGAAATGGGAGGGGATTTCGATGAACTTGATTTGTCAAATGAAGATGGAGAGATATGGGTTGGGAAAAAGTTCAGGAACAAGGAACACTTTAAAATCACGTTGGCCATCAATGCGCTGAAGAATGTAGTGACGTTCGAATTCAAAAAGCATGCGAAGAAGTACACAGTCACCGAATGTCCATCAAAGATATGTGATTGGAGGGTGTTGGGGTGTCAAGTTGGCGAGTCTGCGTTGTATGAGGTGAGGAAGGCGTGCTTGAAGCATACATGCCACCCGGATACAAGAAAGAAATTTTCTAAGCATGCTACTTCTAAAGTCATGGCGGCTCTGCTGAAGTCTAAGTATGAGAATGCAATAGTTGGTCCACGTGCGAGTGAGCTACCTGCGATTGTTCTCTCCGAATATAATATTACAGCCTCGTACTGGAAATGCTGGAAAGCTAAGGAGCTGGCTATATACTCTGCTCACGGAACAGAGGAGAGTTCTTTCAAATTATTACCGATTTACCTCCATGTGCTCAAGTATTGTAACCCCGGCACCATAACGCATTTGTCTACCGAGAGAGATGAAAAAGATGGAAAATGTATTACCAGGTTTAAGTCCGTATTTATGGCATTGGCTGCGTGTATATCTGGATGGAAACATTTGAAACAAGTAGTTGTTGTTGATGGGACTCACCTGACTGGTAAGTATAAGGGTTGTCTATTAACGGCCAGTGGACAAGATTCTAATTACCAGGTTTTTTCAATAGTGTTCGCCGTTGTCGATGCAGAGTCTGACCAGACATGGAGGTGGTTCTTTGAGAAGTTGGTAGACATTATTCCAGATTCCTCTGATCTTACTATTATCTCGGATAGGCACGGTGGAATTGCCAAAGCTAAACAGAAATGGTATCCACAGTCACACCACGGTGCATGTCTTGTCCATATCCAGAAAAATGTTCACGGTAAATACAAAGGTTCCGGTCAGAAAGGGTTGGTCGGAAAGGCTGGAGAAGCGTTCACAGTTTCTAATTTCAAGAAACTATACGCAAGGCTGAAGGATGTTGATTATCGTTGTTGGGAGTACATGGAAAAAATCCCTCTTGCGCTGTGGACTAGATCACACTTTTCTGGCCAGAGGTATAATATGACCTCCAGTAACATTGCAGAGTCTCTGAACAATGCACTATTCGCTGCAAGAGACAGTCCAATCGTTGCAATGCTAGAATTTATCAGGCGAATGTTAAGTAGGTGGCTTGAATGCAGAAGAGAGAAAATTCAAAAGATGGATGGTAACATTCCAGAAGAAGTTGACAAGTTAATGAACCTTCAGCAGCAAAAATCTGCTGCACTATCGATTCAAGGCATTTCTTTGTGGGAGGTTGAAGTGAGTTCTGAGTTCGGTGTACGGCGGCTTGTTGATCTCCTAAACAAAACATGCTCATGTCTAGAGTTTCAGACATTGAAATACCCTTGCTGACATGCAATGGCCACGGCTAGGCTTTGGCAAGTGGAGTACAGCAGTTTGGTTGATCCAATTCTTAAGAAATCAATTTGGAGTGCAACAGTTTGTGGCAAAATCCTACCAGTGCCCGACCCTGACGACATTCGTATCCCAGCAGAGGTGCGTGACCTTAATATTATGCCACCTAAGTCAAAACGTCCATCAAGAAGGCCTACGACGAAGAGAAAACTTTCAGCAGGAGAGTATCCTCAGGTTAGTGTACACTAAACAATTATTTTTTCCCCAGTCATACTGATTACTGATTACTGATTACTGATATACGCTGTTGCAGGTTGCGAAAAAAAAAGAAGCCAAACAAATGCTCGAGATGTGGAAATCCCGGCCATAACCGGGCAAAATGCAAGGAACCATTAGGTTGACCGGATGTGGCTTTTGTGTGTCTTTTGTTGTGTGTAGGAAAGAGCGAGCCACATTGTTTTTTGTGTGTCTCTTGTTGCTTTTTTTTTGTGGGGATCTCGCTTTGTTTTTCGGTTTGTTTCTAGCGTACACTATGTTTCCCTATATTTAAACTTGGAAAGGCATGAAATATGTTATATTTGTTATGAAATTTATGATGTTTACTGGACAGGGTCTACCTGATTACATGTCTATGTAATCAGGTACTGACGGAAATACACCAAATGTTAACTTCCCCCCAAATAAGTGAAAGACACTTTTTTGTTGAAGAAATTGCTAGGATTTACGTGGAAAACAGGGCTGCATTTGAAACCACTGCACTTGCATGGACGGTGGAGCACGCCGGAGGACCATGAACTTCTGAATTGTGCTATTAATTTTGTTTGTTGAATTGTGTTATTTCTTTTGTAAAAAATAAGACCAATATTTTGTTAGCGTGTTTTTCTTGAGAAATTTATGACTTTATATTAATTTTTTTATATGAATTTATGGTTTTTATGTTTACGATTTGATAAATTGTCCAAGCATAAATTGTCCAAGGATTTCATGAAACATAAGTCATCGAATATTAATTCAAAGATTGTTCATTACATACTAAAAATGAAATATAGGTGTACACTTCATATAGTCTACACATACTTGTGTACACTTCAGAAGGTGTACACCATAAACTTATTTTTAAAGCATTTCGCAGATACGCCTAGCACACCAATATATGAAGCAACCATTACAAAGTACTCGGATCTCAGGTTCGAAATGATCAAATGCACAATCAGGCAGCTTGATGACGTCGTCGTTTGGATATGAAAATGAGTTTGAGTACGTATCCATGTATGCAGTTCCGTAGTATGAAATCTCAAGAATTAAATCCTCACCTAATTGTCGCATGCGCTCTGACTGTAGACTTCCGTGATGCGTTGCCAACAGTTGCAATGTTTGGCTTGCGGAACAAGGGTCACCCAAGCAAACACTGAACATGGCCGACGCCAGGGTCGAGAGAGCGTCGGTGGGAACATTTGATTCCAGCATGGTCCTACTTGCAATGAGATCTGCGCCTCTGGTTGCAAGTCTCAGGCCTTCCCAGTATCTTGCCTCAGGGTTTCCACTCGCCAAACGTTTCAGAAAGAATGAGCGTCTTTCCTTTCCAGGGCATATGTCGCTGGGGACACAGCAAAGGGCATAAATGTTGGAAGATTTGAGGACATCGTCGTTGAAAACAAGCTAGAGGGTGTGCTTTCCAGCGCGGACAAATGGTCCGAGTCGCCAAAATGCTTCATTGCCGAGTCTCTTGAGGATTTCGATAAGAATTTCATCAGGCAAGTCTGGGAGCGTCATGTTCGGTTTAGGGTTTGTTATGTTTGGTTATGGGTTTTATTCGTTTGAAAGGAGGCAAGTTTTGTTAAGACAAAGCAAAATTAACATATATGGACTTCACTGGTGTGTGGTTGGGGGTGGAGAATTTATTATACGGTTGAAAATAATATAATAGTGTTCTCCCTTTTAGTAAATAGTTCACCTAACCATTTTCTACCCCCCCCCCATTTTTTAAGAATAATGGTCAGTTCGCTTTTATTAAAGTGCCTGAAACTAGTTTCATTTATAATGTAGTGCGACGTGTTGGGGTCAGTTTAGCAGTTATTGAAGTGGCTCTTAACTTTATACCAACCACGAATTAGGACATTTATATATCTATCCACCCTGTCTACAAATAAAGCGAATCAAATTTATTTTTCACCAAAGTTAAACAACAATGCATTACTTAAATGATGATGTTTTAGGGTTAATAGTAAAGAAACTAGCTGAGGATGACTCCTATCATCTTGGCCCCTTTATTCGCGCAGGAAAACATGGAAGAGCCATCGCGTTCACCGACGACGTGTTACGGTCTGCAGACATCTCTCGATTGGTTGAGTCACCGATCGACGTATCCCCTAACAACCCTTACCGCCCATTCTTTGAGCGTTGTCTTGGCGCCTATAATCCACGAGCTATTTTTTTCGAAGCCATTAGAGTTGCCGTGAGTGAGCGAAGATTGTATTCAGCGATTACAATGCTTAACCGACTTTTCCCATGTAATAAACATGCTACTTTCGCATGTGCCATGTTTGAAATTTGCGTCGGACGTCCACAAAGGGCTAAAAAACTCCTCACGTATGTATTCACTCTACACGTCCCTTATGCGGCTAATGAAATGAAGCTGTTAGCGCACGATGTTATACGTCACGTATGGGAGTTCGCTCTAGGGCCGTTTCAAGATACGTGGGGTAGCCTTTGGTCCTTCCCCATCACCCTACAAGAAGAACCTATATCGGAGTGTGTAGATGAGCATTACGATGGCACAAATACACCAGACTGCGAGTATTGCCTTCTACAATGCACGACTCTGCGCATAAGATATTTTCTTTAGTTTTAGTTATTTTAATTGCAAGTACTTGTTTAATTTTTGTAATATATTAAAGGTAGAAAGTAAGTGAACATCACTTCACAAACATATTGTAACAAGTAGCTACTAAGAACGTAACTAGTTGTAACAATATAACTAGTAGTTTAATTTCTGTAGTTGGTAAACATCACTTCACAAACTTATTGTAATATTACTTCTGTTCATCTACACACTAAACCCTGCAATTACTAATTGTCTTACCATTAACTATTTCTCAAGAAGAAGTACCCATCGAATTCAATATATAGTTTCATAATATTGCGAAGAAAGTTCACCCTACACAAACCCTATAACCTTCCCAAAAAATGCCAGATTTACCATATTTACCAGATCATGTTTTCGAATCATTGTCAAGAAAGTTGCTGAGTCTGACTGCATCTACCTTGGACCGATTATTCTGGCAGGGACCCGTGGTAGAGACATTGCGTTTAGCGCGGAAGTACTCAGATCGGCATACCTATGGACATTGCATGACACACCATCTCGGATATACCATGGAGGAGTATATCGACCTTTATTCCTGCGCTGCTTAGCGTCGAGAAATCCACGGGCCATATTGGTCGAAGCTATAAGGTTCGTGTCAACAGAGGAGAAGATCTATACCGCCATCAGGATGCTAAATAACTCGTTCCATCAGACGTCTATGCCACTTACAGCTGTGCCATTTTGCAAATGTGCGTGGGTCGCGCTAACAGAGGGAAAAAACTTCTAAAGATGGTTTTCAGGTACAACTATCCTCATGATTCTCGTGAAATTCATGAAGTCGCCGAAGATATAGTATCCTTATTCTGGTCATTTTGCCCACGTAATAAGCATACATACAAGAAAAAGTTCAGGTACCCTAGTCTCATTCATGAAGACACCTCTGCGTCGTGCGAAGTGTATCACGAAAATTTGCATTATATTGTTACATGTGAAAAATGTTATCTTAGATGTTCGGCAGAACGCATAGCAAAAATGCTTTAGTATCGATGTGCTATTTATAGCAAAAATAAATATGAAGTTTAAAAACAGCCTTATGTCTATCAGCCTTATGTCTAAAAAGGTATACGATCCCGTATACCAATGTTCGTGGACGTATATAGGTGTACGTTTACGTTAAAATAGGTGTACGTATTCGTCGTTCTTTAAAAATGTGTAATGTTATTTTATTTTCAAACTGGTTTATGTTTACAATCTGTTTCTGATCCCATATACATAAGTAGGTGTACGTCTATAGGTATACGGTAATAGGTATACGTAACACTACAAGAAAACAATCGTTTTCCAACGGTCCATTACGACGGTTTTCAAATCGTCGCAAAATTACAACGATTTTACGACGATCTTACATCTAATTTTAAAACCGTCGTATAAAAAAATCGTCGTAAACTCGACGTACAATTTACGACGACTTACGACGATTATACATCGATAACGAGAAATTTGCTAGTAAATGTAAAATCGTCGTAAATTCGATGCAAAATTACGACGAATATACGACGACTTCATTTCGATGTACATATTACGACGATTTTACGTCGAAAAAGAAGTTAGGTGAAAAACATTTAAAACATGTTTACCTAACAATTGTAGATGAAAGATTTTATCGCAAAATCGTCGTAAACTCGTCGTAATATTATTGTTGAATGTAAAACCGTCGTAAAAAGTTGTCGTAAAAGCGTTGTAAAGCCCGAAATTTTCCTATAAATAGATCTTCATTCTTTCATTCAATCACAACACATCATCATTCAAACATAAGAGCATCTTCATCTTGGAGACCCATTGTAGGTCTCTTAAATTTTAGTATAGTGTTGTAAATCCTTATATATTGGGTTGTCCATTGCTGGAAACCCGAATTAAGAGTTATATTACTTTGAAAAAAAGAAGTAATAATATTATAAGGTTAATTTACTCCATTCACGTTGCTAGACGTGACACAAGAGACTACCTCCTTTATTGTCTAATCAATAAAAAGAGATAGTATTTTGAGTTTATTTTCAAGATGTCTATATACGAGCTAAGAAGTTGGATGTATAAGCGTAAAGATTCAGATGGGGCGTTGACAGAAAAGTTCAAAAACGGGTTAGAAATATTTATGTATCAGGCTACAAATATGGAGAGAACGAAAGATAGT